GGGCCGGGCAGGGCGGAGCTCCTGGAGGTCCCCGGGCCCCGCCCCCGCAGGCAGCCCGAGCCTGGGCGGCCTCCCGGCCCGGGGGCGCAGCACAGGGGACGTCCCGGTTTTCTGCTCCTGTCCCCCATCGCTGCGCAGCCCGACGCCGTCACGTCCAGTGTTTCTCTTCAAGGCGACCGGTTCGCTTAGGGCAGGAGCGGGGCCCACCGGGCTGCCCTCGCCGGCGGACACCCCAGCGGGCGGAGGAAGCGGCAGCTGCTGCTGGGAGGAGGCTGGACCCAGCGGCACCGGGGTGCCCACGCGGGGCAGGAAGGGGCGACGTGCCCGCGGGGATACAGCACAGCTCGGGGCAGCAGGGCGGGACCAGGGCCAGCACAGGGCTCAGAGCTGCGCCAGGTGCGGACGGCACGAAGGGACACGTTACTCCATTAAAGAAGTGGGATCTGGCCCCCCCCACCCCCGAGTGCCCAAGGCTGCAACCCCCGATGCGAGCGGGGGGAGCTGCGGCCAGGGCTGGGCCATGCTGAGCACAAAGGAGGCGCCAGCAGCAGGAACAGGGCACGCCACAGCGCCATGGCTGCTGGGAGCAGGGCTCTGGCCAGGCCCTGCCCAGGAAAGGCCCAGATGGCACCAGGCCCAAGCCCCTTCCCTTCCCTTCCCCTTCCCCCTCCCTGTGAAACCAATGCCTGCCCCACCCTGGCACTAAACCACACACAGTTAAAATTCTGTACACAGTTTGAGCCATTAAAACCCTCCACGTCTGCCCATCAGGGCCCGTGGGAGCGAGCGGCAACTACACCTAGCCGGGGACACGTGCAAACAACGACGAACGGACGACGACCCAAATACTGCACCAGGACGAGGAAGCGTGCAGGCGGCGTGGCAAGGGGCCCCGGCCGGCTCCGTGCCAGCGGGGTGAGGGGCTGGGCAGGAGCCCAAGCTTGGGCCCGGGAGGATGCGGGGGCGGGCAGTCCAGACACAGCACAGTAACACTGACGCTCGGCCGTCCCGGGCAACACGGACACCAACACCCGCCTCACGGCCCCATCTGTCCTCCTGTCCGGCCGTGGGGGAGCAGGCCTAGGACCCAGCTGCCGCCACCCCCTCTTCCTCCTGCTTCGGCAGCTCAGCCGGGGCAGGAGGTTCTGGGACTCCCTCCCCCGCTCCAAGGCCCAGCTCCACATCCATCTGCTCCAGCTCCCTCTGATCCAGCAACTCAAAGTCGTCTGCCTCCTCGTCCTCATCCTGGGGTGACGCTGCCGGGCTGGCCCCTGCTGCCTCACCCTCGCCCAGCTGTGCCTGGAAACTCAGTCTCTCCTCCGGCTCGGCAGGAAGGAACTCAGAGAGGGAGGGCCCCTCACTGGCCTCCGAGGAGCGCAGCAGGGCTGACAGGGTGTTCTGTACCACTGTGCTGATGGCCGTAGTGACGATCTCCTGGCTCAGTGTGTCGAGGTGGAGGCCAAGGCCGGGGCCCGAGGTGGGAGGGGCCTCCGCACTGCTAGGCGCCGCCTGCCCGGTCCCGTTGAAGTGCGTATTTACAAAGTGGAGCGGGGACGCCAGGCGCAGGAGTGCCAGGTCAGCATCTGCTGCCTCCTTCTCGGCCGAGTCCAGCTCACGGGCGGCATGGGCCAGCTCAGGGCCCAGGGGCACCCCAAAGGCCTCCTCGTCACCCGCCGGACCCAGGTCTCTGGAATGGTACTCTTCCACTGAGGGGAACTCCGCCAGGTCCTTGGAGAAGGCTTCCTCCGGCTCGCTGTGCAGGCTCTGCTGGTCCAGGTCTGAAAGGCAATGGGGTGAGTGGTGGTGGTGGTGACTTGCTCCTGGGAAACATCAGGACAGCATATATGGGGCAGTGAGGGCATGGATCTGCTGCCTACCTTCAGACACGTCAGTCAGCTGTGGGGTGGTGGCTCGGGACACGGAGAAGCCCCCGCTCTCCAGGATGGAAGCCTCCTCGTCAGACAGCTCCGAGTCTGTGATAGCTAGGGCCAGCGCCGTCTTCTTCACATCCACCTGCGAAGGAGGGGAGCAGAGGATGGGCAGCTGCAGCACTACAGGGGCCAAGGCCTCCCATCCCCACCCCAGTCTCTGTGTGCTAGGTGCTGCAGCCAAGGTGATGCGACTCAGGTGGGAATAACCCAGGGCTGTGCATTTCCTGATGGCTGAGGGAGTCAGGGAAAGACCACAGCCCATGAGCAGGCCCTGAGAGCAGTGCCAGACAGTCCCTTCCTCACACACCCACTGCACGACAGCCCCCAGTACCTGCACTCACACAGGCTGTACCTAGGCAACCATGTCGCACCACCAGCAAGCAAGTCAGTGACAACAGCCCCTCTCCAAGAGGAGCTCTGGTGCCTTCACTCCAGTCTCTGCCTGTGCCCAGAGGCGCAGATGCACGTTGGCTCTGCTGCTGATGCTGCCACAATCCTGGCCCGGCCGCACTGGGCTCTCCTGCGAGGTGCAGGAGCAGCAGCCTGCCTGGCCCCTCTGCTGCACTTACCAGCGGGGAGAAGCCAGACAGCTCTGCCTCGCTCTCACTCTCCGTTTCTGCCATCGGGTCGTCGCCAGCCACCGGCTCGCTCTTGCCCTGCCGCCCTAAGGACAGAAGTAGACGGACCGCTTTACACAGCTGTGGCCTGGCTCCACTACACCCGTTGCTGCCCCTTCCCTAAACCCAGGCAGGGCTGTTCCCTACTGGTCATTCCTTAGAGCCTTGCCAGGCTCCACTAGGTCTCCTAAGGACGCTGGGGAGATCTCCTTGGTGCCACCTCCCAGCCTGAGCACAGCCCATTTGACGACAGCTGGGCTTTGCTCTCGTATGCATGTATGTGCCCCCCTGCCCTTCCCCTTGGTTGACCTGTGGGGCGAGAAGCCAGTGCCTCACTTTTTTTCTCGTGCTTGAGATGCAGCGTCTCGGCCTTCATGCTGTAGTCCAGCTTCATGAGGACAGGCTCCAGGCGTGTGTACATCCTCTGGATCAGCTCATGGTAAACCACCAGTGGCCACAGCAGGATGCTGAGCACTGGAGACGCAAGAGAAGCCAGGCCCATTAGCCTGCTGCAGGGACAGAGCTTCCGCCTGCAGCTCTACTAAGGGGCCTGGCTGCTGTCCCACATGGGGCCAAAGAGCCTTCTCAGGCAGGGCACTCCCAGCACTGTGCCTTGGCTTCGGCCCTGGCCCTCCCTGGCTCAGGCAGCACACCTCAGTCCCAGCTGGTGGGAAGTGCTGGGAGCTACAGCTTTCTATGTGCTGACTTAATCTGAAAAGTGCATTAAAGATAGTTTTAAATAGCAGCAGCTTGGAACTTGCAGCCAATTGGAGCCAGACAGAGTCCAGGCATCCTGGGGGCCATGAAGAGAAGAGCTCTATGCTTCCCTCTCGGCAGGCAGCACCTCGGAGATTAATTCAGGGAGTCATGAACTTAACTGAAAGCTAGTGCTTAGTGCCTGGGCAGGTTGGCTGTTACCTATGGCAGCTCCTGCCTCTCCCAATGAGTCGGTCTCCAAGGTGCCACCTTGCCCTGCTGTCTGCGTGACTGCCAACATGGCCAGCTGCCTCTCTTCCCACAGCCTAGCTCCTTCAGGGGACGCTTAAAAGCTGTGGGTCCTTACAGCATTTTGCTAGCTTGCTCTCCACTGCCTCTGCCAGGCTGAGCACTAAATACACAACCACTTTCCTCAACCCTTTCCCCTCAGGGCTGGCACACACGGGCTCGGTTCCGCTTAGGCCAAATGCAACAGCATTTCTTTGCCTCTGGGCACCCAGCAGTATTGCTGAGGAGTGGGGAAGGTCTTTGCTTCACCACAGCTCCCTCAACCAGCTACATAGTGGCACTGCTAACAGCCCAAGGCAAGCAGCAATGGACCCTAGAGGGCCTGGGGACAAGAGGGCTGCATGGTGACCTATCTAGCATGGGACACCGAATGGGGGAAGGTCACGAGCCCTCTGCCAGCACAGCCAGGTCGTGGCTACATGGCATCTACTCACAGATGATGTAGGAGATCATGATGCCTGGAACATAGTGCCCGACCACAGCCAGGGTGAGGCAGCCCGAACAGACGCTTGCACAGAACTGGGGGATAGACAGAGAGGGGTGAAGAGAGGCATGTCCAGTGCCGTGTCAGGGGTGACAGACATGTGGCTCAGAGGTCAGACACAGGGTTTGTCTGGTGTGGTTTGGATGGGGCTGGTTCTGCCTCAGGCAGGAGTTGGACTGGATGTGACCCCACAGCACTGCCCGCTCCACTTCTCTGAGATCCAAGGGACAGAAAGTGCCTGTACAGCAGGTGCCAGGAGTCTGCTCAGCAGCACTTCACCAGCTGCACCAGTGTTAAGGCACAGGAGGTGACGCAAAGGCCTTAGCTGGACTTGTGCCCCTGACGAGAGCTCTCAGCACGGAGGCGCAGCATAAGGGCGAGCGCCTTGGAGGCCTGCAACAGCCTGTGGCCTGGGCCGATGCTTTCTGGGACACTTGGTGCCATGGCCCAGGGAAGCTGCGGGACAGTAATGGCAGAAGCATCTTCAGAGGCTGGGCCCTCCCATGACACACTGGGGGACCGGGCACAGCCAGCCCAGGGGACCTGAGACTCCTCCCAGCCGCTGAGCACCTGCCCAGCCCCAGGTGCAGCTCAGATGAGCTGGAAGGGTTGCAAGGCCCAGCCCAGTCATCCTCAGCTCTTTGGAGCAGCACAGGACACATCCTGCAAGGTCAACCGTTCGAGGACAGTGGCCCCCAGGCCCTATGCCCCAAGCAGGCTGCTGTCAAGCCTCAGGATCCTTTGTGAACTGCCACATGGGAAGGACGCTGGTGTAAGCCACAGTCCACTGGTCACTGCCTCCAGGCCCACCACTGGAGACACTGCAGTAGCCCCAGTCTTGGGGTAGGGGGTCTAGCAAGGCAGCTCCATACCCTCTATCTTCTCAGAGGCCAAGGCCTGCCCTGCTCCCACCCCTGGGCACAGCTCCCCTCTCACAGGCACCTGGTACAGCCACCCGCCAAGTTGCACAATGGATTCCCAAATGCCAGGCCCTCACAGCCCTCCCTTGTTCTCCCAGGCCACTGGGGAGGAAGCTGCCAAGGACAGCAAAGCCGTTCCTGAATTACCTTGGCCGGATTCTGCCTCTTGTACTGCAGCAGCTCCTGCAGGTACAGCCTGAAGGTGACCCAGCTCTCAGCCAGATAGTGGCACAGCTCCGGGATGCTGAGCAGGTGGGGCTGGGCCCCTGTCGCCCCCTCACTGGTGAAAGACATGAGTATGAGAGGGCAGAGCCGTGATGCAGCCCCCTTCGCCAGGGCCAGCAGCACCGCAGACGCAGAAACCCTTGTGAACCTTGAGCACCAGGCTTAAGGACACTAATGAAGCCCCACTGCTCTGTGAACTCCACTCTTGATCTGAGGGTTCCTGGGATCCGATAGGGTACACCCAAGCTGCTCTCAACCAGTGGACACCTTGGCACCTTGCTGCTGTACAAGCAACCTCCCTCCCCCCGGACTGGCTGGAACACCTGGGCAGAGGGGTGAAGTCTGGCCCTAGGCACAGGGAGAGGCAGCGTCAGAGCTGGGACAGGACATCAGGAGCCCCTGGCCCCCTGTACCAAGTGAGCTGCACCCCAGAACTTGGGGCCAGCAGTTAAACAGCTCGGTACTGGCCATCAGGCAGGCCCTTACAGATGGCGCTGCTGTCCTACCAGTCAAGCCAAGGGATTTCCTCCTCTCAGGGGGGATTCCTAAAATAAGCCAGGACAAGATCCTCTTTGCTGAGCTTTATTTAGGCCAGAAATCCTGGCGGCTCAAGGGCCAGAAGCGCCATGTGAAGAGCACTGAGCTTTCTAGCATCTTCCAGTGCAGTCCCCGAGCCAGCGAGCTGGGATTGCTGCAAACCCCGCTCAGGGTCAGCTGGGGGGAGGTATCTCCAGGACCATGAGGGCAATACCAACAAGGGCAGAGAGGGGGCAGGAGGAGACGGAAAAGGGTTCAACAGCTGGGAGCTTCCCTTCCCCACACCTGACCTCCAGCAATGCTGCAGCAGCTGAGCTTACCTGTCCCCTCCTGGCTCCTCCAAGGGCTGGGCTGCAGGGAGAAAGCAGAAGAAATTAGGCAGCCAAATGAAAAAGTGCTGAGCAGAGCTGGCTGCAGTCTCCCTGGAACCAGCCAGGGACCTTCCTGTACACTCATGAGCCCGCGGGGACTAGGCTGAATGCAGCTCTAGGGCTGACATGAACCGAGGTGCAGGGAGCAGCACAAAGGTCTCTGAAAGGCAAGGTCTCCCCAGAGTGGCCAAAGCCATGCAGTCTGGCCCCACAACCCTTGGGTTCCAGCTAGTGACAGGATGGGGAGGAGCTATTTGCATGGTCCCTGGGCTGGGCATAACATGAGCTGTGACCCCACCTTGGGAAGGGAGCAGCAAAGTGGCTGAGTGCAGACTGTACCCTAGCCTCTGGTACCTGCCAACTCCTGCTCATCTCATATACAGGGCCCAGAGGGATGCAGGATGCTCCTCGGCAGTTTCAGGACAGGTTTATTACTGTCCTCCCCAGCCCTGCAGCCAAGTGCCAGCTGTGGTGCCAAGGCCTTGGGGGCATTGCCTGCTAAGATGCATGGAGACCATCGGGGTCAGGGGTGGCAGGAGGGGGCTGCTGAATACCAAAGGGCTGAGGCACAGAACAGCTTCCTGGGCACGAGCCTGGTAACCATGGGGCAGGGATCTGTGCAGTGCCAAAGGCACCCCCATAGCAGAGCTCGGGTGGGATCCTTTAGTCTGATGCCAAAAAAAAAGCACAATAAAAATACATGGAGCTGTCAGCTGGGCTGAGACATGAGACAGAGGCTATGCCTCAGAGAAGCCCAGCGCAGCCGGGGTTCCCTAGTGAGAGAGGCACAGGGCAAAGGAGAGGCAAGGCCCTGGGCTGTGGCTGTAGGAGGGGCTCAGGAGCCCTGTGTGACCTCCCCCGCAGCCTGACCAACCCAGCAGGGCAAGCAGTCAGGCCAGGCCTGATCCAGGGGAGCATCTGGACATGGACTGTGTCCCCCTACTCCCTCCTGCACTCTCACACACAGGCATTTCAGCTCCCTGCTAATGATGAGTGGGTCAGCCAGACTCAGCTGCCACAGGCACTGAACAGAACGTGCATGGGGGAGAAGGGAGTTTCCCAGCTCCTGGGCATCAGCCCTGACAGAAGTGCCAACCACTCTCTCAGCCCAGGCTCCTCTCAGCAGCACCAATGGGGGGCTGCGGCAGCCTCCCCACCTCTGCAGATGTGGAAGCGGCAGCAGAGGACTTTGACTCCGTGCTGTGGCCTGGGGCATCAGTGCAACTCCAGGGAGGTCCTCACTCTGAGAAACACCTCCATGCTGCTCACAAGCTCCAACTACAGCCAGGACCGGG